CCTGCGTTGGATGCCTACTCGGCGGGTGTGACGCCGCAAGCCGCTTCTGCCAAGCAAACAATGACGGGCAGACCCGCCCGCGGGCTCCGGAAGGGAGTCCGGCGAACCACCCACTCGAGGCAAATATGTTGGCATTTTACAGTAAGGGGCACAGCACGATACAAAAAAACACTTTGTATTTTCTTCCACTACCTTGATTGGAAATTTGAGCATCTATATATATATATATATATATATTACCTTTGGCGGGTTTTGTTTCAATCCCATGACTTTTCTGGGGGTCGGGAGCGACGTCGGGGCGGTGTGGTGTGTACTTGGTTCCCCGGTTTCCAAGGGAAACAACGAAACATGTATACACCAAGATCCCGTATTCACCAGGATCCGCCTTCCTGTGCGAATTTCAGCGTAGGGTCGGAAAAAAACGTCGGTGTGTAGAGCTCGTTTTCCCTATTTGAGATTCTCGACATACCCATATCGCAATCGATTTCAGAGCTAGCTCGATTATACATTAGGTGAATTCATGAAGTATTTATGGATGAAGGGGGATTCTCACGGATACGCAACAGACACAGTGTGTGGTTTGGCCCGGTTCTACCCTGGCGTCCGCCCCGTGGTCCTTACAGTCCTCCGGTATTTCAAGAATCGGGGAAGCGCGCTGGAACGCAAGCGGGGCTTTTTTTGCATACTTACGCAGGCCGAAACGACGTGCCGTTCAGGTGAGCGGATACATGTAACGCCCTCTTCGGTTTCGTGCCTCCTCTTTCCTTCTTCCTTTCTCCGTCCTAGGAATACCTCCCCTTTCCCCGTAGAATCATAGCTTTGGTCAGCAGAACCAGTCCCGTGGATAGCATGATGCTTCACGTGCCCCGTGGATCCCATTTTCCTTGGGTCAAGGATAATGAATATCATTATGAGATAGATTCCCAGAAATTCAAAAAGGACCCATTGGCTTTTCACACACGGAGGATTGGATCCGCGCAGGACAGACGTGGGATCCACGACAGTGTCGCACACCCGAATCATAAAATGATCCAATGGGATCCATCGGTGTTCTAATATTCTTAGTCCACGAGGGAAAATTTTCGGCCTGGGGATGTAGCTTACGCCGCAGAATTTTCACCGCTGGAGTTTAACACCTCGCTCTTCGGGGTATACGATGGCTCATCTATGTGTTAGTGTTCTGTCGTTGGGGACCGCTGGAAACACCCAGGCTTCTTGGACCTTCTGCAATTTTCGGGGGTTCGGGTCCAGGAGCCGCTGCAACCCCGAGGGCCTGAACAACAGTTCCTGGAGTGGAGAAAACGTCCCCCAAGAAACAGTTGTTCCTGCATGACGGTAGGTTTACGGCGTGTCCACGTGGCGGCGATACCGGCGCGGGCGTTCGGAATGAACGCGGCCAGTGGTCAGGAATCGGCCAGTGTTGAACGGGAATGCGCGATCGTTCACGACTGAACAATCCAAGCGGTGTCAAAATTCGATGCGCATGCCGTTACGACACATGCTGGCGCAGGATCCAGCGAAAAGGGCACGCGATTTTGGTTCAACGTTTTTTCGGAGCCTCCAGGTGGCGTTCTCGTCGCCACGTCATCGGGTCCGCCTCGGAATTCGAATCACAACGTACCCCAAGAAGCATTCGAATGGCGCATGAACGCGGGCCCTCGCCTCCCCCCCTCCCCCTTCTCCCCATGGAGTAGGTCTTGGCTGTGTTTGGTGCCTGTTTCGAGCGGGTGGGGTCTCCCCCCGTAGGACGCACTGCTGCAAACCGTCACACTAAGCAGAGGTCCGGAGCAGGACCCCCCCTCCCCCCCCTTCCGCCCAATGTCGAAACGCCGAATCAGAAAACGCTTCCCATGTAAATCGAGTGCGAGAGCAAGTAGGGAACGGGTAAGGGGACTTAAAAAGGCAACGGCCAGACTTCAAAGGCCTCAGTGCCAACAGATGCGAAACGTGAAGGACCAAGGTGCGTCACGCGAAGCGCCAACGCAGTCTTGTGTGCGTACATAAATATGTGCGTGTGTACCGAAGTCTGGTTTTGTTTGCCGACTGGCCGATGCCAGTGCGTGTTTTCTGCTTCCCGTGCGACCTATTTGCCCGCGGTTGCGCGATTTGTCGACCAGTGAGTGGGCTGCCCACGCGACCCGTCGTGCAGTGGCGGGGGCGCGAGACGCTCCGCGTTGAGAGCGACGCCATCTGCGCTTCTTCCCTCGGGCCACCAGCCCTGCGCCCTGGCGAGGCGCTCCCCTCCAGGCGCTCCAGGTGCGGAGGAGCGCATGGGGGCCACCGCGCGGCTCTCGCGCGGGCCCCAGGGCGCGAGGTGAGGCGACCTCGGGGCGGGCCCTGCGTCCCGAAGCATTGGCGCCTGGCCTCCAGACTGGTCGTCGTTTTCTTGCTCACTGTCTTGCCGATCGGCGCGGGCCATCGCACCCCCCCCCCTCCCCCACCCCCTCAATGGAGTAGATCTTGGCTGTTTTGGGTGCCTGTGGCATTCAGCAAGGGTCCGGGGCCAGAGCCCCCCCCCCCTCCCCACACTTCCGCCCAATGCCGAAACGCCGAATCAGAGAACGCTCACCTGGCAGAGACCTTGTCCACTTCGTTGGGAAGAAGACCCGAACGCCGTCTCCGCGGGGATTTGTGCCCGCGCTAGTCTGGTTTCTGACGGGCCACCGTGAGGGACTTCAGATTCCCGAAATAATGCCCTCCGCATTGCACACAGACGGCAGCAGGCTCATCTTGGTTCCTTGCCCGGACCCCTCCTGTAAGGTCTGCCCTGGCCAGTTTTGCGAACTGAGACTGTCCTGTGCGACGAAACCTAGAGAAAACAGACAGAGCCCCCCAATAGGGCCTCGAGATGGGACAGGTTCTTCGTCCAAGGCACCCCTCTTGATTTCTTGATGACTTCAAAGGTTTGGGTACAGTCACGACGGTGAGATATGGAACAGTTCGGATCCAGAATGGTGTCGCTGTTCCTCAGGCATGTCCATGGTTGTTCTTCTAGACGCTCCCCGTGCACCCGGCATTTCAGGGGTCAAATGAGGGCTTGTTGTTCCTTATCTAGGGAATTTTGTGTTAATAGCTTTACTATGCTTTGGCTCCTCTCGAGTCCTCTCTGTAGGATGCAACTCCTGGGAAGTCAAGTTCAGCATCGGCGCTGTTGTATCTTCTGCGCTAGCGAAAAGCGGCAAGATACCGCTCAATCTGGTCCAGTTCCGCTGAATCTGGCTCCATCCAGGGCTCAATCTGGCCTGATCCGATTCGGTGGTCTTTGATCGAGATCACGGAGACCTCACAGGAGTCAGTTCCTAAACTGGGCGCTGGGCGGCCAAAAGCGAGGCGTCGTTCCTCCTCTAGCGGTCCTTCTTGTAGCAGTTTGGCTGTACCATTCGGGTACAGCTAGCGTTCCTTCTTGTAGCACTTCCTCCTCCAGCGTTCATCCTTTAGCGCTCCTTCTTGTAGCACTCGTAGCAGTTTCTATTATGCGCCTCCTCTCATTCGGGTGTGGCCAAAGGTGTTCCTGGCCCACGGTATCCCTAACATTTTCCTGGGGATGCCCAGATGGCCCCCAGAGCACCGTTCACAAGAACCAGATGGCCCCATGGGGCTCCAAAAAGGCGCGAGGGACCGAGGACCCTTTGGACCACGGCAATCAATGTCTGCAGGGAGCAAGCAAGAAGTGATTCTGATGCAGCCCGAGATTTCCAGGGGCTCCCAGGCTTCCGAATTTACCACACGGGCTGCAGAAACGAGGGCCGCTCGATGCTCTGGAGATCCTGGAACGCGTCCTGAGCCATTCGCATCATGGCATCCTTCTCGCCCTACAGTCGACCCGCATAATAAGGAGGGGCATCCTTCCCAAGGGTACCCTTGCATCCTTGCCTCCTCGGGCCATAATTGGCCGCTTTCGTTGGCCGCGCTCCGCTCCAAGGCCCTTTGCATCCTTCTCACTCGTCCTACCCTCCTCCTCCTCCTCCTCCTTCCAGAGCGCATGATGCATCGTGCCCGGCTCCCGCGAGTGGTCCGCCGGCGGCAGGTTGTGATTGCACTTCTTGAGGCTTCCAGCCATAATTTCGAGCCCGTAGCCAAGGACATATGGAGGTGCACAGCGTGCAACAAACTGTTGCAACCCGCCGCTCACATGTTTTTCCGAACGGTTCGTTCGAAGTGTGTGGCCCTTGTGCACACTGCGCCTCCCACGCCTGAGCGTCCACGGCGGGCCAGAGGGCGGCGAGCAGGGGGCTCGCAGGTCGGCAAAGCACCAATCGATGATGACCTTTGGTGTAGGCTTGGAATGACCGACCCCCCTCAACGTTTACCTGCCCGTGCCTACGTCCACGGGCGCAGGGTGCATGACAGCCGCGCTGCCTGGAGTAAAGGCTGCTTCACCTTCTGTGGCTTGTGCGGATGCTGGGCGGAATCTAAGCCTCGCGATTTGCGCATGGAGTGCCGAGTCGCCTCGAATGGCCCGGCGGCCCTCACGGCCGGCATATATCTGTGAGGCGTTTGGGAGGTTCAGGCAAGGCAAACCCCATAAGAAAAAGTGTCGTGATTGGGGGAGCGCCGTCGATACGTTAATCGACTTCTGATTAACAATGTTCACCTACGTGGCACTCTCTCCGGAAGCTTGACGGGCAGCGGTCCACAGAACAAAAAATCCTCCTCCTCCTCCTCCTCCTCCTTCTCCTCCTCCTCCTCCTCCTCCTCCTCCTCCTCCTCCTCCCATGCCATGCCGACGGGAGTACGAGAACACCAGCTGTGTACCTGCACCGATCCTTGCCACACCCGTCCTGGGCCCAGGAGGAGGAGGAGGAGGGCCGCCTGCATCTCTGTGGCGACGCCCGGGCTCGCGCCCTCCGCTCCCGATGACCTTGGCATCGCTCGGACGTGTGCATTGTTCTCGGCGAGAACCCTCGAGGACCCTCCTGGACCCTCGAGCAAAGAAAACACCCGCACGAGGCCGAAACAAGGTGACGGGACAGGGACGCCCGAGCGACGGCACGTGGCAGGCGCGCAGCGCCGTGGAGGCGGACGCGGCGAAGGCCGCGCTCGTGGAGGCCCTGCTGGCGGTGCAGCAGCTGGTGCCCCGGGAGTGGAGGCCGCGCGCCCGCGGGGTGTGGCGCGCGCGCCGCGCCCTGCGGCGGTGAGCGACCGTCCCACGCGGGGGCCACGCGCACGCTCGGGAGGTTGAGCCACATGCACAGGGGGAGGGGGAGGGGGGGGGAGGGGGAGGAGGAGGAGGGAGGAGGAGGAGGAGGAGGAGGAGGAGGAGGGGAGGAGGAGGAGGAGGAGGAGGAGGAGGAGGAGGAGGAGGAGAGGAGGGGGGAGGGGGAGGAGGAGGAGGAGGGGGAGGGAGGAGGAGGAGGAGGGGGAGGAGGGGAGGAGGAGGAGGAGGAGGAGGAGGAGGGGAGGGGAGGAGGAGGAGGAGGAGGAGGAGGAGGAGGAGGAGGAGGAGGAGGAGGAGGAGAGGAGGGGGAGGAGGAGGAGGGGGAGGGAGGAGCACCCATGCTGACCCTGCCGGGACAATCTTTGATTGTCCCCCCGCGGCCCCAAACCTTATTATCACCTCCCTGTGATTATCTGGGGTCCTCTGTTATATTTTAAGGATGTGCTACAAAGATGTTGTAGTAGATGTTCGGTTCGGACGTGCGTCGCCAATGAAGGCACAGCATACTGGTAGGCCCTTCCATGCGTCCCAAGCGAGGGTGCTGGGGTCCAGGCTGCCGTGATGGGGTCCGCATCGCCCAGGCCGCAAAGTGAGGACGGAGTATCGCGTCGCTCTGCCGAGAATGAAGAGGTACCAGTCCCGCTGCCCGTCCCCGAGGGCCCTCGTCGCATCGGGTGGAGCCTTCGCGAAGTGCTGGTCAGGCTGCACCCCAGGAAAGGTTTGTGGAAGACGATCACTGGAGAAAAGGACGATTGCCATGGCAGAGGAGATTTCAAAGATAGAACGTTTAGGGCATCCATGGTCATGGCATCCGCAAGGAGAGGTCCCGCGTCGCCGATGAATCGTCGATGCAGTTCAATTCGGAGCCGAGGGCGGCCCTGAGGGGCGGAGCGCGCGACGCAGGTCTGGGGGCCAGTTTCGGCTTCGATTCCGGCTTCGGTGTCGATTCGTTCTGGGAGAACCGACTTTTTGGAACCGTCGAGGCTCAAGAGGCGGGGGGCCCATGCAAGCGCGGGTCCGCCAGAGCCACGGATCTTGCAGGATCCGGCCGGGCCAGGGCCGCACTGACCCGGGCTTGGGCGCAGAGGGTCGTGCGGGATCCTGCAGGGTTTCGCAGGATCCTGCGAGTCCTGACGGACCCACATACTGACGGATTTCGCAGGACCCTGCAGGATTTCGCAGGATCCTGCAGGATTTCGCAGGATACTGACCCAGCTAGCTGGGTCAGTGGGTCTCCGAAGCAGTCAACGCGGCGGTCTTTCAAAGGTCGGTTGCCTCTGGGGGCCCTCGCCGGGGGCCCTCACGACCGTCGAAAACCGACTCGGGGTTCAAGGTTGGCCCTGGGGAGCAGGTTCGGATTTCTTCTTGGTGATCTTGTATGGAAAAGCCAAGACGAAAGATGTCTGGGCTTCGGTTGTTCTTGGTTACGCGTTCGGTCGGTTTCGGTCGGTTGGTTCGGGCATGAGCGCGGCCTTTCGGGTTCGATCGCTGACGGTTTTTCTATCGCTTCGGTCGACATTCGGTTATCGTGTCGCCGTGAACGGGCACGGGTCTGCGGTCCAGGCCACCCAGGTGGGGTCCGAGCAGATGCGGCCGGAGGACGCCGCATCCACTGGCAACTTCAGGCGGGAATTAGGCTCAGAGGGGGATGCACCGCCCCCAGTCTCCCGTGCACTGCCCACAGGGGCCCCCGACAGTCCACCCCGCCCACGACCTGGAGGTTGCGCTGTCGGGGGCCTACAGTCAATCCGCGCAGTAGGGATGAGCGACTTTCCAAGGTTGCCCTTGCAGCCTCGCCCCTTCGGCCCATCTTTGGCCTCTTTCGCTGGCCGTGCCCTGCTCGCAGAGTAACCATCGACATGACCAAGGCCCTTGCACCCTTATCGTGCGTCCTGGTGATACGGGTTGATTGCATCGCCCATCTATTGGCGATGCATCGTTGATTCCAGGTCGGTGTTTCCCCTCTTGGGCGGGTTCCCCTCTGTCGTTCTCTTTCAGCCCAGGTGGGAGCCAAGCGGATGGGGTCGGAGGAACACGCCGCATCAATGCAGTCGCCGATGCGCCTCGATTCGGAACCTGGTGTTCTCCGTCACGGCACGGCCGACGCATCGGCGATGCAGCGCGATTTTCCGACCCCGTTTGCTCGGTCCACTCCTGGGCGGCCCCTGTGGGACGAAGGGCCCGCCAGCCAGGCTGGCTCTCTCTCTGCCCTCTGTTCCTCTAGTCTCCTCCCCGGTCTGGGGGCGGGGGTGCGTGTAGATAGGAGGCCACATGCGAACCCTACTCCACCACACCACGAGTTCGAAGGGGAGAGGTGGGTTTCCCGAGCGAAGTGAACCCCACCTCATCCCTCAGAAATCGTGGGGTGGTGGGGTAGGGTTCGCACGTGGCCTCCTGGACGAGGGCCCCGGCGGGCAGCGTGGAGGCTCTCGCTTCGTTCCTGCTTGTGAGCTTCGCGCGCTTTGCCGTGGGGCACCGAGGGGCCGTGCCTGCCACGGCGAGCCGCCCGCTCCCGCCGCGCGGGCGGGCCCGAGTCCGCCCTGCGGCCAGCTGCTGCAAGGAGGAGGAGGAGGAGGAGGAGGAGGAGCAGGAGGAGGATAAGGAGGAGGAGGAGGAGAAGGAGGAGGAGGAGGCAGGAGGAGGAGGCAGGAGGAGGCAGGAGGAGAAGGAGGCCGCACACGCCTCGCTGGCGTTCCCGGTGCGCTCACGCGCGGCTCGACAGGCCGAGCTGCGGCGCCGCGGCCAGACTCTCGGCTGCCTTCGCCGGGGGGGGCTGCACTGGCCGTGGGCGTAATTATGGGCAGCGCCTTCTGGCGCTGCGGCCTGAATCAGGAGGGAAAGAAAGACACCGACACAATTAATCGTCGATTCCCCAGAAAATATAGGAAAATATGGTAAGTGGGGGGGAAGACAAAAACCCAGAAAATATGAGAAAATATGGGGAATCCTTTTATTTGTGTGTATTTAGTTGTATGTCCCAGGGCCCCTTCACTGAAGCGCTGCTCCGAGGCGGGGAAGAAGCCACGGCCACTGTCTGGGGGGTCGATCTCCAGGAGCCTCGGCAGGCTAGGAATGCGGATGTTTTCGGGGCCCCCTGGGGCCAAGAAGCACCGCAGCACGGTGCCCCAATAGCAGCAGAGGTGAAGAGGCGGGTCGAGGAGCATGAGGCCAGGAGAAGCACGGCCAGGAAGCCCTGAGAACTAAAAGATGCAGCCATCACGGGTGTGAGAGCACGGTCATCCGCGCCTTAGTGTTTTTTACCAGTGATCGTGGCCGTCCAGACCCAAAGAGTAGCCGAGAGCACGATGTCTGAATTACGCAAGGGACCCCACATACTTCTTATGATGTCTGGAGTGATGATATCTGAAGTGAAACATCCGAGAATGATGTTGGTGGCCGTTTCCCCGCCGATACCGTTAGTGACGCTGGTCAAGCTTTGGGAGACGGACGCGCCGTGCGAGCATCAGCCTGAGCCATGGCGACCACGCAAGAGAGCGGTGCTGTAGATCGGCATGCGGAGGGCGCACGAGTCTCGACGCGGTAGGCAGGCGGACGGCGCACGCCGCGGTGAGAGACCCCCCCTGCGCATCCCTTATGGTGTCCAGAAAGTGCCACGCCTGCTATGCCCTGGACGAGAGGCGCGCATAGCGGGCGAGCTCAGGGACCACACCCCGCGCACCCCCTCTGGTGTCGAGGCGGCCGCGGTGAGAGACCACCCCCTGCGCACCCTTTTCTGGTGTCGATGAAGTGCCACGCCTGCGGTGCCTGGACGAAAGGCGCGCATAGCGACCGCGGAGAGAGACCACCCCATGCGCACGCCCTCTGGTGTTTGGAAAGTGCCACGCCTGCTATGCCCTGGACGAGAGGCGCTCGTAGCGGCCGCGCTGAGAGGCCACCCCCTGCTCACCCCCTCCTGGTGCCGAGAAAGTACCACGCCTGCTATGCCCTGGACGAAGCGTCGCGTAGCGGCCGCGGTGAGAGACCACCCCCTGCGCACCCCCTCTGGTGTCGAGAAAATGCCACGCCTTCGGTGCCTGGACGAGAGGCGCGCATAGCGGCCGAGCTGAGAGACCACTCCTGCGCATCCCCTTGTCTGGTGTCTAGGAAATGCCACGCCTGCTATGCCCTGGACGAAAGGCGCGCATAGCGGCCGCGGAGGGAAAACACCCCCTGCGCACCCCCTTCTGGTGTCGAGAAAATGCCACGCCTGCGGTGCTTGGACGAGGGGCGCGCATAGCGGCTGCGGTGAGAGACCACTCCCTGCGCACCCCCTCTGGTGGCGAGGTGTCTGCTTCTGATGTGGATTTCCTGCCACGCCTTGCGAATATTGCGCGTATGTGTTGTGTGGTGTGCGTGTCTAGTGTATGAGGCGTGTGCGGCTGTATCTGGACGTGTGTCTCATGTGGGTGCTCATCACTATGTGGCTCATACGTCGTGGGTGTATGATGCAGTGAACACGCCAGTCGTGCACAAACGTTGTTCGTGTGTGTGTGTGTATGTTTGTTTGTTTGTTTGTTTGTTTGTTTGTTTGTGTGTTTGTGTGTTTGTGTGTTTGTGTGTTTGTGTGTTTGTGTGTTTGTGTGTTTGTGCGTGTGCGTGTGCGTGTGCGTGTGTCTGCGTGTGTCTGCGTGTGTCTGCATGTGTCTGCGAGAATGTGCATGCGTGCGGCGGTATGTAGACGCGTGTCACATGTACGTGTCGTGGATGCGTTGCGCGTGGGTGGGGGGAGAACGGAAGAGGAAGAGAGGGAGGAGGGAGGAGGGAGTTGTGAGGAAGACGCGGGCGCCACGCGGGTGGGAAGAAAACCAGAACCCCACTGAACACGTGGGGAATAACTTGTGA